GGGAGGCTGAGGCAGGAGAATTGCTTGAGCCTGGGAGGCGGAGGTTGCAGTGAGCCAAGACTGCACCACTGCACTCCACCCTGGGCAACAAGAGCAGAACTCAGTCTCAAACCAAACAAACAAACAAACAAACAAAGGTAAACCAAAGATTCTGCTGCTGGAACCCATTTACTTAATGGATGTACTGCCATGAGAGCCTATGTCAGACCTACTATAAAAAATAAAAACTCGGCCAGGTGCGGTGGCTCACGCCTGTAATCCCAGCACTTTGGGAGACCGAGGCGGGTGGATCATGGGGTCAAGAGATCGAGACCATCCTGGCCAACATGGTGAAACCCCGTCTCTACTAAAAACACAAGAATTAGCTGGGCATGGTGGCATGCGCCTGTAGTCCCAGCTACTTGGGAGGCTGAGATAGGAGAATTGCTTGAACCTAGGAGGAGGCTGCAGTGAGCCAAGATTGTGCCACTGCACTCCAGCCTGGGTGACAGAGCGAGACTCTGTCTCCCAAAATAAAATAAAAACCCATCTGTCTTCAACATCCAGCAGCTGGCTAACACAGTCTCCTGGTAGAAAACTGAATTAGAGATCTTCAATTGTAGTAGTGATCAGTTAGGACCCCAGCTCTTTTAACTGAAAACTCAGGACAGGACAAATATATATTAACACAAGTAAGAATGACGACATCAGCTCCTCTTACAAAACTCTCAATATACATATGCTGACAAATACATGTATTACAACATCAACTAGATTCCCTAGTTCCTAAAACTCCACTAAGCGCTCCAAAACCTACACACAGAAACTCCTTCTTATAGGCTCACAGTATGTTTTGGACATGTTGGATACTTAGAGAATAATAAACTTGACAATTATTTGGGGATTTAAAAGTTGCTATTTAAGTGATCAGTTAAGATGCATTATTATACTGGTTTGATTCTTCAAAAGTACCTATCAACTTTTAGGGATGACCTATGAAAACTCAATGGTTCAATATGAAACCCGTAGAGAAATATCTATTACACCATTCTATCCTACCACCGTGGGACTGGGAATACTGCCTCAAAGTCTACCACAGCATATACTAAAATATGCTTGGTTCATGGAACTTTTGCTTGATTACTCTAATAATTACATCTATTAATAGGATTTCTAATACCCACCCATGCAGATAGATTAGTTGTCTACCCCCAACTCAAAAAAAGGGGTACATACTTAAACTGAGAAGTGATTAGTGGAAGATTATGTATGCCATTTCAAGTGGTAACACTTACTGTTGATTCTTCGCTAATGCCATAGTACAATTCAGGTACTCCTAATGCTTTCCTTTCTCCCTACCAAGGAGGCAGGTTTAAAAGACGTGGTTTAAAATATTCTCTTATCAGTTCGGGGACAGAAAATTTGAAATTCCATACCCTCATTATTAAAAAAAAATTATGTATAAAGCAGACCTCATCTATACAAGCTGTTTTTAACGAGTGCCAGCAAAGAAGATTCAAAGAATATATTCTCAAAGATAACTGACTTCAGGTTCAGCACTTAGGCATCTGATGAAAGAAAACGTGAAGTGTTAACAGAAAAATGAGTCAAGAAGTCTGCAGGAGAGGCATGATGTGCGGAGTCCTAACAAAGGTTTGAGGAAATTTTAATAGAAACATGTTTATGTGAACCATACCTGCGGAATCGTGGTCTATATCCCCGATACATATTCTGCCTCACTGGTCTACCTTGTTCTCCTGCACCCTGGTTGTCAGCACCCTGAAAAAGATAATGGAAATCAAGCCTACTGTATCAGTAACATAATAAAAAACGCAATGAGATAAATCCAAATCTGAGTTAAAAACAAAAACAAAAACAAAACAGACCATCTAGTAATTGTGACTCCACTACAAATTAATCCTTTTTGGTCTTACTAGGAATCAAAGGTACTTTCCATAGATTAACAGTCTAACTGCTCTAAACAGTCCTACCAGAATTTATCACATTGCTGTTGCTGATGACGAAACTTACCTCCATCACTTCTCCCTGCACAGGAGGGTTGGAATATTGTGGTCGACGCCCATAGGGTCTCCGCATGTAGTAAGGTGGGAACCTTCGCCTGCGGTAGGGCCGGCGTTGTTGGGCCTGGCCTTCGGGAGCACTCTCTGATCCCTCGTTCTTTTCCCCACTCTCACTATTCTGGTAATTTTGCTGGTAATTGCGTGGAGGACCCCTACGACGTGGATAGCGTCTATAATGGTTACGGTCTGCTGCGTATTTACTGCCTTGAACTGGAACGCCACCAGGACCTGTAACATTTGCTGCCTCCGCACCCTACAAAAGCCATTACATATTGATAGTGACAAAGGAAATCAGAACACTTTCAACAAATTTCAAACAAAGCAAAAAACAAAATGAAGTTAAGGAAAAAAAAGGAGGGAGGGCGTTTGTGTGGCTGGGGGTGCATAGCAATGACTAAATATCAGTTCCTCACTGTTCTGAAGAGATTGCTTTCTAACTGCTGCCAGAACATTAGGCTTGATGCACCTATGTTCATGAGGTCACCTGAACATATCTATCCACATTAGAGCCACCATCCTAATGGATGAGACCTCCAAAATATTTCCATACTGAAGTCAAACCTTTACACAAAAAGCATCCTCACCTTTTCTCCTTCAACAACATCAAACTCCACAGTCTCTCCATCTCCTACACTGCGAAGGTACTTCCTGGGGTTATTCTTCTTTATGGCAGTCTAGTAATATCACATTCCAAAAATAGATTAACAGGGGAGAATAATGTGCTTTTTCATTTAAAATGTACCAGAGTCAATATTATTTTAGTTTGGATATACACTTAAGATTTGCTTTAAATAAGACCAAACCATCAATAAAGTTAGGAAAGCGGGGACCACGCTATCCCCAACTTCAACCAAAATACTCTAATCGTACAAGGCCCCAGCATTTTAGCACTATTCACAAAACTAAAATGAGTAATTTAACACTTAAGACAGACAAATTTTAAAATCTGCTTTTTGCAAATGCGTTATATGTAACTTTAAACAAATGAGGATATCCACCTATCCCCTAAAGACTGCACTTAATAGTAGAAGGTGGCCCCACACTGGGTCAGTTTAGATGACAGGCAAGTTTGGTTGTGCATGCTTCAAAGCTGACCAAACCAACTTTGTCCCTGTGTTACCATACCAAACTCAATTACAAATGTCAACCAAAATCCTTCCAATCTGTCTGATAATACTTCAGTGGAAATGCAATTAGCATGTATTAACTATGTCATTCTTTATATTATCCGACTGCATGGAACTGTTAGTTATCACCTCCCCAGAATTCAATAAATCTTGTATTAGAGACTTGTTGCTTCTGCTTCTCCAGACTGTTAGGAGAAGGGAGGAAGAGTAACATTTCATGTTTCTACAAAATTTTTTTTTGCAACATTCTTTCACTTATTACCTATTCAATTTCATTATGACAGAGGGTATGTGAAGCATTGTTAATCTCATTTTACAGATAATGTAACAGGCTTTAAAGTTAGGTGACTTGCCCAAGGTCACACAGGAAGTAAGGGGAATTTCTAAACCCAGGTATTGGGACTCCAAATCCATGTTCATTACAAATCCCAGCTATATCCATTACAGGATCACTCATGCATTCCCATTGCAGAGGAAGCAGGACAACCAACGAATCTGAGGCTAATTAAGCGAAGCTGCCCAGAACTGCAGTCTCCTTGACACACCACTAAGACTAGAGCAGCCAAAGTCCCAAGAAACACTACATGAAGAAACCACTTCCCCAAAAAAATGAAAGCATATTGGTGACACCTTGTGAATCGGTACAACTGGGTGAGTTGAGTTAAATAATTGATCTCATCTGTCATCTAAACTGTCACATAATTTTCATACCTTTCATATATAGCCAACTATCAATTACCTGCAGTCATAGGGGATAGCAGAAGTATGGATAATTGAAATCCCAAGTCTTTATTTTCATCAACATCTCCACCCCCTGCCCCAACCCCAACCTTAGGGTTTGCCAACAGGCAACAAGACTGATAAACTTTGCTGTCTCTTTTTCCTAAGTCTACACACACATTCTTTTGAACATGCAGAAGAGGAATAAAGGAAGAGGTAAGTAGTGTTCACCCAAATAAGAATGCCAATTCTATAAAACATTTCCTTTTAAATAACATTTTGTCTGAAGTAGTCTTGTATTTATTTGCATTTAGAATTTAAATGTTTCCATAACTACATTTGACTCAAAACTAACCAACTGGGTTTTAGATGTACTAGAAATTGATATAGCTTCCTCCTTGATTGTCACTGAATGCTGTATAGGATATTTCAGTGAGCTACAAAGCACCAACCCATGACAGTCCTTCCTATGAGAAACATGCTGCCATGTAAGGTAGTATCTAATTAAATGTTGAGTATGGAAATTGACATTAGGTCTTTTGCTTTCTGGATTATAGTACAAAAAAGTAGTTAGGGTCTCAAATTAGTTTTAATACAAGTTGACAATACCAACAGTCTTAGTAAGAAAACTGAACACAAGTATTTTTCCTACCAATTTCATATCTGGGAAGGTAAGTACATTCAGTGCAGTCTGTAACATACGTAAATTTGAGGTACTAACATACCTCATGCAGTGGTTTACTTTAGCAGTATTCTTAATTCCTGAATGTCCATTTTCCTTAAATGATATTTGAGGAGAAAGTCAATATGTAGTACTCATCCTATGTTAACAATGTTCTCTTCCCAAAACACTGGAAGCCAATCTAAAAATTATTTAACGAGCAGCTGCCAACCTTGTCACACTGCCTCTCATTTAACCTTAAACTAGTGATGATTTTTTATTTTTGAAGCCAGCCAAAACTCTCCAAAGGTTTTTTTTTTTTTTTTTTAAATTTAAAGTGATTTAGAATAAGTAGAAGGCTCTCTACGCTACTTTTCGAGTATTCACTGCAATACTGTTTTGCAGGTCTACCTTATTTACCCATGATTATGGAGATTTGTCCCTACAGGTAGACCTAAAAGCTCTGAAAGCTTCTTGCCAAAGTTTGTGTATTTATAGCAACATTATGTGTTCAACTTTAGAATCATGGAGTAATTTGTTCATCTGAGATTAGGTATAAATATTTAGTGCAATGAGTTTGACTCAACATTTGAGAAAGCCACAGCTGTTAACAAAATTCCAATCTGAAATGTCTAGGAGAATTAAGTGGACTCTAACACAATGTTTCAATGTATACATTTGAAGCATGCTACTACTACTCCTGTAGTTAAGTAAATAAACTGGTAGTTGGACTTAACTTTCACAAGGAACCAAAGTTGAGAACATCTAACCTTTTCTTCTCACAATCCTTGAATCAGAAGCGCAAGTATCTACACAAGCACTCACCTGGTGTACAAATACATCTTCCTTGGTGTCATTCCTGCAAGACAGAACCAAGTTGAACAAGTCAGAAAATGAAATACATCTCATGTTGCCAAAGATTAATTTTCTCAGAGACTTTCTGGCTGCCAACTAGCTACCAGGAAATTTGGCAAATCAAAAGACACAAGCAACCATGCTCTCTGCTTTAAGGACTTCAGCTGTTGCAAATAATTGTAACCTCACTACCTGTAAGATAGCGCCCCCCCCCAAACTAAGAAATTAAAGTGTGACCTCCTGAGCCATAATTAAGAGGATAGCAGTGACTAGCAACATGTTCTGCCCCTCCTTATCCTATTAAACATTAACCGTTCTAGCACACCCTCCTCTTACCTCTAGAGCATGGTTATCAACAGAAGTAGTAATTACGTTCTCACTTTATCCTCAATCATTTCCTCTTCACCATTTCCAACTACCAACTTTCCTTGAGATCATAAAAATGAGCAGAATGCCCCCTCCCCTCAAAGAATGTACAATACAAAAAATGAAACCTAATGTTAACTGTGGACTTTGGGTGATAAGATATGTTTGAATGTAGGAAAAGCCCAACCAGTTAGTTATAAAAAAGCTACTCCACAAGCCCAGACCAGGACTGATGAAGGTTCAGACCAAGGGGTTATGTATGAGAAGATATTTATTTGAGATCTCTTTTTGAGGCAAAATGAGAAAGACTGTGTGGATAACTGGATGTCGAAAGTGGAGAATAATCTGACTTTGTAGCCTGGAGACTGGGATTAAGGTGATAATACTAGGAGCAAGAACCACTACTGGAGAGAAAATGGATTTCCAGGCCTGTAGCATCCTGCCTCGCCCTCTTTATTCCATCAGGTCAGTGAGAAAAAGCTCAATAGTAGCTCTAGTGTTTAATGAGAAAGGGAACAAAGATTATAATGAAGTAGACAAACTGGCTTACTGTTAGCTTCTTGCTGAACTAAGGAGCAATACATGCAAAGGATCCACATAAAATTAATTATAATTCGGCCGGGTGGATCACCTGAGGTCGGAAGTTCAAGACCAGCCTGACCAACATGGCGAAACCCCGTCTTAAAAAAAAATTATAATTCTGATCTGTGAATTATAATGAAATACCCTAGCTTGACTGTAATGAATACATTTTAAATAATCCTGCTAACTCCATTTTGCCCACCCTGAGCTATGTAGGGCATTCTGTTCTGAAAGCTTGTGGTCTGAGACACCTGGTATCTTTGTGATCAATTTTCTGAGAAACAGGGCCGGCACTAAAAGTGGACTCTCAACAAACTCAGAGCATGGTGCTTCTGTTTAAACTCGTTCAGGTATAACAATAACTTGGATTATTATATGAACATTTCTAACTTATGGGAAAGGGATAATTTAAAAAAAACGGAACAGGAAGACTGTAAAAGTTACTTGAGGCAAGTGACTGAAAACTGAACTTTCAAGCTATGTGATTAGGTATGCCTAGGGAAATGATGGCTGTACACAATGTCCATCTGTCCATAGTTCCACAGGCACCACAAAAACAGATTACAGCCATCATTTATTAGTTCTGCTCTCCAGCATGACTGAATTTCAAACTCTAAGGCTTTAAGGGGAAATACAATAAAAAACTGGTAGAGGATGAAAAATAAAGGCAGGCAAAGTCTAGAATAGTGATTTTCAATGGGGGCAATAAATCCCCCTGCAGAGCACTTAAAGTTTTTCCAGGCCAGGTGCAGTAGCTCATGCCTGTAATCCCAGCACTTTGGGAGGCCAAGGTGGGAGGATCACTGAAGCCAGGAGTTTGAGAGATCAGCCTAGCCAACATCATGAAACCCTGTCTCTACTAAAAGTGCAAAAAATTAGCCAGTCATGGCAGCATGTGCCTGTAGTCCCAGCTACTCTGGAGGGTGAGGCAGGAGAACTGCATGAATCTGAGAGGCAGAGGTTGCAGCAAGCCGCTGCATTCCACCCTAGGCGGCAGAATGAGACTCTATCTCAAAAAAAAATAATAATAAAATAAAATTATATATATATATATATATATATAATTTTTCCAAAGATAGGGAGCACTATTTGCATTAATGGAAGTGGGGGTATCAGTTGCTGGAAGACTATCCAAAGATTTGGTATAGAATGTAAATTTGTTTATTATCTGAGTCGTGTATGTATTTCTGTACTGCTTTAACATGCATTAAATTCACTAAAAATGCAGCTTCCATGGAGAATTTTTCATTATTGATAATGCTACTCATGGTATCTGGATAATACATCATTTATCAATCCATTTTGTGGTGGCATTGACTGTTATGCCTTCTAATGTAGTTACAAACAGGTATTCACATTATCACTATCATCATATTTAGCAACAAAAAATAGTAAAAGTAGTTTATGAATTTACTTCAGGGTTATAAAAGGAATATTAGAAAATTTTACCAAAACGACGATTTTCTTAAAAATAGCACACCAGCTGGGCGCGGTGGCTCACGCCTGTAATCCCAAGCACTTTGGGAGGCCGAGGCGGGTGGATCACGAGATCAAGAGTCGAGACCATCCTGGTCAACACGGTGAAACCCCATCTCTACTAAAACTACAAAAAATTAGCTGGGCATGGTGGCGCGTGCCTGTAATCCCAGCTACTCAGGAGGTTGAGGCAGGAGAATTGCCTGAACCCAGGAGGCGGAGGTTGCGGTGAGCCGAGATCGCGCCATTGCACTCCAGCCTGGGTAACGAGAGCGAAACTCCGTCTCAAAAAAAAAGCACACCAGTTAGGCTGGTGTGGTGGTTCATGCCTGTAATCCCAGCACTTGGCATGCCAAGGTAGGAGAATTTCTTGAAGCCAAGAGTTTGAGACCTGCCTGGGCAATGTGGCAAGACCCTGTATCTACAAAAAAATAATTAGCTGGGCTCCCACTTAAGTCCAGGAATTGAGGGTGCAGTGAGCTCTAATCATGCCATAGCACTCCATCCTGGGCAACAGAGCAAGACCCTGTCTCTGAACAGAGAAAGTACAAAGCTGGGATTACACGCATGGTAATGTCACTCCTGCAAAAACAGTAAGGTGTTTTGTGGGTACAAAGATAGATATGTGAAAGCAATATAGTTCACTGATCAATGTCATGACAGAAAAAACAGTACTCCAAAAGGAATAGCCAAGGCCTCAAGCTCAAGGTATTTATTAAAAACATCAATTACAATAAAAATATTGTTAACATTAAAAAGAGTGATTTGTTGAACCAGTGATTTAAATGTATGGATCTGCTTTGAATTTGCAACCAGTCAGAATTTTCTAGTTTAAATTGGAAGAGTTATAACAAAGGAGAGCCTCATGTATTAGACAGTTGCAGTGCAGCTTTCTGGGTGTAGGTGTCACTGCTCTGCTAGCTATCAATATTCTTTTCTGTTCAGTTTTGCTCTCAGGTGCCTGCTGGGAAATTAACACTGAAACTGACCCTTTTCTAGCTCTAGCTCCCCCATCTACTTATAGAAATAAGGAATATTCTAAAAATAAAAGTTATACAGTAGTAAAGATAATCCAAAAAGAAAATTTCAAGTCTAAATGGCACAGAGTAGTTAAGGAGGAAAAGGATGGAGAAATAAAACCATGACTAAAGATGAGAGGTATGAATAAGCTGTCAAGTTCCTACAGGCTTAAGCTAGGACAATCAGGCCCTAAACTCCAAATTTGGATAAAGTATTTCTTTGTATTCTTCTTGACCACCTGCATAGTGTGAAACATACATATGTACAATTAGACTTGCAGGCCAGAGGACTGTCCTCTACTGATTTCTTTTAATTAGAAATAAAAAGTATTCCTCTAAATTTGGTTCTGGTGCTGGTGCCCTGTATATATGTAACAATATAGAACCCACCCCCGCCAAAAGATTTTGCTTCTTGTGAATCTTATTCATTGGGTTAGTATGACTGTCTATAATATTTCCCAGTTGTATTATTATATTGGAGAAAACATTTTTTATCATTTTCTATTGCTAAAAAAATGGAAACAAATATGGTGTTAAAAATGGAAATATATGCAATATTTACATTATTTAACCCCTTTGAAGATCTAAGAAAGCAAGCAAGAACAAAAAAACAGTACTCATTTATTTTTTTTGGGAGAGTCTCACTCTGTTGCCCAGGCTGGAGTGCAGTGGCAATCTTGGCTCACTGCAACCTCTGTCTTCCGGGTTCAAGCTCTCGCACTTCAGCCATGAGTAGCTGGGATTACAGGTGTGCACGACCATGCCCTGCTAGATTTTTAGTCTTGATTCAACTATTAACAGCTCTGTAACCAGAAAAGTCTTTAAGCTTTCCCTAATGCCAAAACATTTTGTTAAAAGCCTCATTGGCTTTTTTACCTGCAAAATGAGAAAAACTATACTAAACATTTAATAACTTACTAAGGTAGGCACTCAAATCTTCTCAGTATTTATTGGGCATTTATTACTAATATTAGGTAGTTTTTTAAATTAAAATCTAATTACACCCTCTCCTATACTAGTCTATCCAGATTGGTCAGGGTCTTAAAACAGACAAAATGCAACTCAAAACACGAAAACAAAGTCAAAAAAATGTAACTTCCCTGGAAAACTTTTTAATAACTCAAAAGACAATTACAGCTTGCCTGACAGTCTGCATGCCATTGGGACCATAAATTCCAGCATTTGCTTTCCATGGCCCAATCCATCCAAACTCAAGGATGCTACTGCAGCATATTCACCATATTGCCTGCCATCCCTAAAACACAACTATCTTTATTCTAGCTGTATTATCTATCCACATAAAAGATAGGCTAATTTTTTTTTTTTTTGCCAATCCACAATACTGCCTTAAATAAGACTTACCATACATAACTTTATCCATAACTAAATGCTCTTATTCTTCTACTTTGTTGCAGATTACCATACCAAGCCAGTCTAACACTTTAATTCACTTAACTGCATACACTAATTTATAATCCTGTGGTTATAAAAACTCCAGGATTTAGCATCTATATGCTCCATAACCTAAAGCAACCAGATATCAATTCCCAAGCCTTGCAGATGACTGTAAGATAATAATCCCCACTTATCATTGTATTTCTTCTCTATTAAACACCCTTGGCCAGGGGTGGCTCACCCCTGTAATCCCAGCACTTTGGGAAGCGAGGCAGGCAGATCACAAGGTCAGGAGTTTGAGACCAGCCTGGGCTACAGAGTGAGGCTCCATCTCAAAAAAAAAAAAAAACAAAAAAAAAAAAAAAAAAAAAAAAAAAAAAAAAAAAAAAAAAAAGAAGAAGGCAGCAGTTATGCTTACCTTGCAGGCCATATTAAAAAAAAAGATTCAGTGAGATATGGTGTAATCTTCTCTCCTTTAATTCTTTGCCTCCCAGTATTAGGAATTAAGCAAGTCCTTTTATTTGTAAAGCTGACCTACATGCTAAACCAGAATTTTTCACAATCCTAAACTTCACAAAGTAGATAGTGAAAGGCCAAAAGCTTTTCAAATGTAGGGAGCCAGGAGTTGGCTAGCACACAAGAGCCCCAGTGACATACTCTGATCACTTAAGAGTCTTTCAATGGCTCTAAAAATAATCACCCTAAGAAATTACCTGTAACTATGTGAACAATCAAACTGAAGATGGCTAGGGTCTATTTCAGAGATAGCGTTAACAGCAGTTGGTGAACACTAACTCCAGAGTCAGAAAACTAAGATCAAATCCTGACTGCCACTTATCAGATATGCTTATGGGGTGGGGGTGGGGCAAGTAATAAATTCTTTGTGCCTCACAGAGTGATAGTCCCTACACCTCAAAGGTTTTTTTTTTTTTTTGAGACAGAGTCTTGCTCTGTTGGCTGGCTGGAGTGCAATGGCGCGATCTCCACTCACTGCAAACTCTGCCTCTCCAGTCAAAGCAATTGTCCTGCCTCAGCCTCACAAGTAGCTGGGACTACAGGCGTGCACCACCGCACCAGCTAATTTTCGTATTTTTAGTAGAGATGGGTTTCACCATGTTGGCCAGGATAGTCTCGATCTCTTGACCTAGTGATCCGCCGGCCTTGGCCTCCCAAAGTGCTGAGATTACGGGCATGGTCCACCAAGCCTGGCCTACATCAAAGGTTTTTAAAGATTAAGTGACTTGGCTCATCTTAAGGATTTAAAATAGACCCTAGTATAAATACTTGTTAGCTACGTGTATTTTCACCAACGTTTGAAAGAAGTCACCTTTTATATACACATGGAATCCCCACAAGGGAGCCCCCACCCCAATGGGATACTAAACCTGATAGGCATGACTGAAAAGAGACAGCTAAACCTTTCCCTAGCTTGGTTTATTACATCTTCCTAGACCAAGAGTAATAAACTCAAATGCATACACAAAGGCCAGGTGTGAAGGGAAGTCAGCAACCTAAGACAACTAAGCATGACAGGCCATCCGGAAGAAAAAAAAAAAAAAGGCATACCCCACCTAAATGCGGTGAAAATACTGCCAGGTGGTTTTTATTTATGTGGAAATACACACCCCCAAAGCTAGCTAAAGTTCCGATCTTAATATAATAACCTGGATTACTTGGTGTTACCGCCTGAATTATAACGTTAGTAATTAATCCCAATTCCTTTTAACAACACTGTACTGTCCAAACAAAGCATCTGGGAGTAGTTTTAGCCAGTAGGTCACAAATTTGTAACCTTTGCTCTAAATATTAAACATTTTTAATACTCTAGAACAAAAATATTCCTATTCTGGTCACTATAAACTGTTATCAATTTATGGTAATCTTTGGTGAATTTGGGTCAATCCTCAACCACTAATAAAATTTGACAGTGATGGGGGAGGAGCTAACAAACCCCTCTAGTCACATTCTCCAATTATCTTTTGTAGACACAGCTCACAAAGGAATAACTCAATTGAATTTCTCAGAATTTCTTGATCACATAGTCTAACAAAGCCAAAACTTTCGCTATTTTGAAAAGCTCTATGCTCAGGTTATTTAGCACCTTCTACGAAATATAATCATCAGGGAGAAGCCCTTTAATGAATCAACTCTAACAAGGTTGTAACAATTCAGAGGTGGTAATTCAGGCTGGAATAAACACATTTACAATGAAATTATCTGTCTTTTAAAGACAAAAAATTTACATAAAATAACAAAATATCGTGGCTGGGTGTAGTGGCTCACACCTGTAATCCCAACACTTTAGGAGGCCAACACAGGCAAATCACCTGAAATGGGGAGTTCAAGACCAGCATGACCAACAGGGAGAAACCCCGTCTCTACTAAAAGTAGAAAATTAGCTGGGTGTGGTGGCATATGCCAGTCATCCCAGCTACTTGAGAGGCAGAGGCAGGAGAATCATCTGAACCCGGGAGGTGGGGGTTGTGGTGAGCCCACCACTGCACTCCAGCCTGGGCAACAACAACAAAATCTCACAATTCTAGAATATATAATCCAGCGCACCCAAAAATTGCAATTAAAAGTTGTCTCAGTAGTCATCCCAAATACTACACCCTCTCCTTTATACAGAAAACAGCACATGTAATGTGTCAGTCTGTCTCCTTCCCTCTTAAGAACCAGGTGCCTCCAGCCAAGTCTATTTGTTCTACTACATGAACTACATATAGAACCAACTGCTGGCTTCCAAACTGATTTAACACATATTTTCTTTAATTAAAGCAAACCTTCCCTTTATTTAGAGTCGGATTTTACACCATCTTATCAAAAAGTCTCAGAATCATTAAAACAACCAGTTCAGAAGGATAAAGAACATTTTAACCAGTCAATTTAACAAAATAATTAAGGTTAGGATAGTCCAAACAAAAGACCATCAAAAGCCAATTCACAATTTGCCCTGGAGGATGACCAATTGAGTTGATTCCAATTCAGAACATTCAATGAATGGCACCTCATGAAATACTTATAAAGAATTACTCTTATTTTGGATAAAACTTGATTTTTTAAAATGTGATAACCTATGCCACTTAAAATGCAGCAAAACAAGGCACACACTAAAACTTCTTAAATACAAACAAAACTGCAATCTATCCACTGAAAAGGCTGCAAATCTGCACACCAAAATTACCATTATATTGGGTCAAGGGTTAAAAGCAGTGATTTTGAAGGTATGGCCCACATTATCATTCTCGCTAAAAATGTACCCAGACCTAGGCAAGCACACTTAAATTTGAAAACCACTGGTTTAAGGGTTAGACTAGTTCGGAGACAGAAATACAAACTAAAACACTAATAAGTTCAGAGAGATCAGTTAAAAAGCTATCAGTATACCAATCATATATAAGCATTCCCTTCCTTCCTTGCTAATAATCCATTATCAAAAAATTAATGAAAAACGTAGTTTCAGCCACAAGAGTGGCAACAGCATAGAAGGCTGGAAAATCCTAAGATTTTGGAAGAAACAAAACGTTTTCCCACAATTGCAAAAGTAGAGAATAGACCATCAAATGCTTATCTCTTACTCTGAGTGTTTCCACAATAATGATTGATTAATGAACGGTTTTTCATCAAGCGATGATTATGTCTGTCCTTAAGCTTGATTTCGTCTATTTGTTGTCCGTTCCACAAACATTCTTAATTGTTCTTTTAATCATCTGCTTAGGTCTTCTACACTAAGAGAATGCTGAGATGGCACTACGTACCATACCTATAAGGCCAAGATTGCTATTGGCATACTCAGGGCTCTACAACCATGTAACTGCACTACTAGCCTTGGCAGCCATCTTGAAAATGATGCCAGGCTCACAAGGGAGCCCATGGCATCCAGTGTACTGCACATTACCAGCAGCAACCCGAAGGATAAGTCCTAAAGATGAAGCCTGCAGCTTTGCCTTCAAGCAAGAACAACAATGTCAAGTTACCAGGGACTATGGCCACTCTAAATAGGCTACAGCCAGAGATCTAATAGAAATCGATTTAATCTGTATGATTTTAGGACAAGGAAGAATGAAAAATAAGAACTGAAGAAAGCAAAGAACCATTTTCTTGCAGATACATTATTTATTCTATGAGCAAATAAAAACAGGTTCTCTCTGGTGCTAACATAACATTTATAAGATTTATCTAAGGTATTACAGTGAAGGTGAAACAAAGGCAACACAACTTCTCGGTAAAGGTGACAAAACCTCATATACTTGACAAGTCAAATCTTACCCTCAAAATGTTAACAAGGCGTAAATATCCGATGTCAGTGGATCACACTCTCAAACACCGAGTTCAATAAAGTAGAAAAGGATAACAAGGATAAAAATGTACAGGACCGTAGTTTCCCGTTTACCCTGTTAAGGCATGGGTCATTCACTCCGCTTGCCTTTTAAATTGCTTTGTACTGTAACGAAGCCTTTGAAGTTGGCTTCAAATTAACATTTAGCTACAAAACAAAGACCTTCTCTAGATCCATAAATCCCTCCAGTCGTCAAGGAATATATATTAAAAAAAAAAAAAAAAAAATCACATTAATACACAAGAGGTAGTAAACGCCCTTCTGACCCTTCAGAACAGGGCTGTGGATTGGGGCTTCCCAAGCGCTGAGAAGCCGACAGAGCAGGCAACAAGCGAGACGGTGGGATGGAGGCTTCAGGGCCCGGGAGCTCACCTGTTGATGAAACCATATCCGTTCCTTACATTGAACCATTTTACTGTTCCCAAAACCTTCGTTGCTGGAAAAGAAAACAAAGCAAAACAAGCCACGATTACCACCTATCCTCTTCCAAACCCGCCCGGCTTCGGTATCCGGTCCCTCGCACGCTGCCCGCGCGGCCACCTGACAGCCCTTTCTCTCCACCTCCCGGGTGCCGGGCCACGCCGCCGCCGCACACGTGGGTGAGTCTGAAGCCGCGGGGCGCTCCAGGGCAGGCCCGGGGAGCGGGCCCAGGATGGGTGTGTGCGCAGGCCGCGGGCGGAGAGCACGTGAGGGAAGGGGAAGCCGCCCCGGCCCACTCCGGCCTGCGTAGGCGGTGCGCCGCGCCCTCCTAGCACACGCGGAAGAGAGCTGGGTGGGGGAGACGCTAACAACGGCGTGCGGGCCAGAGCGCACGAGGCCGGTCGGCGGGGAGGGGACCCCGTCGCACACGCGGTTGGCGGGCGCGCGTCCGCAGGGGGAGGGGCGCGCGTCCGCGCGGGGTCCACAGGGGGCGCGGGAGGCAGCGCGCGCGCGCGCCTGCCGGGCGGGCCCCCGTGAGGGTGAGTTGGGGGGCTGGGGGAGGGGCGGCCGCGCGCCGCGGAGTCGGTCCCCGCCGGCCGCGCGCCCGCCGGCTCGCCCTGCTCAGGCTAACGGTTCCGCTGCCAGGCTGCCCGAGGGCCCCACCCCCGTCCCCGTCCGGCCCTCACCGATGATCTTCTTGTCCCCGCCGGCAGGCGCCGCCGATGTGAGGCCGCCCGGGCCACCGCTCCCTGCGCCGCTGCCCGTAGTGCCGGGCTTGGTGTCGGCGGCGCTGAGGGCGGGGGCGGCGGGGGGGACGGCGGGCGGCTGCTGGGTCTCGGCCTCGCTGCTCATGGTTGCGGTGATGGTGACTGGGGCCGGCTGCGGCAGCTACGGCTCCTCCCGGGATGTGATGGTAACTAGGCCGGCGGCGGCGGTGGGGCTGCTCAGGGCTCTCTGGGGTCCGCTCTCCGCTCCCGCTACCGATCGAACTAGCGAGAATGGCGGGACAGGCGGGATAAGCCCTACGATCGACCCGCCCTAGGCGTTGTTAACTGGCCAGTGCTGCTGTCAATCTGCCCACCTGACCCCAATTCCTGACTTCTACTGGATAATATTTTATCAGTCCTCCACTCTCATTGGCCGTTTGGCGGCTAATTCAGCCGACCTACAACCGTTCCTGCCTCCGCCGGCCGCCATAGAGACCGGAACTAGAATTAGAGTAGTCGGCCACAAAAACCATAGAGTACCCGAGAGGACGGGCAGAGAGAACGTGACTTCCACGAGGCAGCTACTGGGCTGGCGGGCCCCACGTTCAGGGTTGTGTCCCAGCTGAAGAAAAGGCACGCCCGAATGCTGGGCAGGAATTACCCGGCCGGACCCGGGATTGGAAGGGGGCCCGACTACGTATTAGCCCTTCGTAAAGACAAGGCTTCCCTCCCTCCCTGCTCCAAATACAGTCCTTGTGATCTGAGAACATTACTGCTGGTATAGAGTCATCTTTTCTTTAATGGCTGTGTTGTGGCGACACAGCCGAGGGTTTCTGGAATTGCCTTAAACGTATGCGTTTGAGGAGCTTACGCTTTTGTCGGAGCAGTCACCTTGGAGGGACCACGCAGGCTCAGACAGCCTGGGCTCAGCATGTTTAGCATGTTTAAGGCGAGGGTGTGTTCTCTGGGGACCTGCCTTCTGATCCGTTTTACCAGGCATACATGTGTGTATGTATGTATATGTGTGTGTACATATATATATAAATATAAAAGTGTCTTCGAGTGTTCATGTCTTTTTCTACTGACCACAAATCAGATTTAATTGAACAAGCTAGCCTGTTTGGTTTTTCCGTTTTATTCCGACAACAGCCATGTGATAGAAGGATTACTATCCACGTTTCACAAACGTTAAAATTGAGGCTGCCACCTGATGTTATTGAAGTCCTCCACCCACCGTCTTTCGTTCTTTTTTAAGCGTCTACTATCGGCTGGGGATGGAATAGTTCGCGAGTCAGTTTCTGCCTGCTGATGGCGGCAGGAATTTAAACAGCGAGCACTGGAAATACTCGAGAGCTGCAAAAGCACGAAGTATTGGGCCGGGCGTGGTGGTTCACGCCTGTAATCCAAACACTTTGGAGGCCAGGGCGGGCGGATCACCTGAGGTCGGGAGTTCAAGACTAGCCTGACCAACATGGTGAAACCCCGTCTTTAAAAAAATAAAAAATAAATAAAGAAAAAAAAAAAAAAAGTAAGTATTTTGGAAGTGGAAGCAGGGAGAAGGTGGAGGGCTGACTCCGCGCACAGGGTACAGGCGAGAAGAGGTGGGATCTCGGGAAATGCAAGTCAGGTAGTTCAGTAAGACTCCAATGCAGTATCCCTTACCCCTACCAGTGCCGTCTAGGCCTGTCAATTCCACCTCCTAAAGGCCGTCCTGAGTCAGTTCCAAACTCTGTAAATGTCAATTCAGAGTCTTTTCGTTCCTATTGCCACTACTCTAGGCCATCATCATCAGTTGCTTAGAGCAAGGAGTAGGGAAACCTTTTTCTGTGAGAGCCAAATAGTTAATAATTTAAGCTTGGCTGACCATATGGTTTTGACTTACTACTCAGGTTTGGAGCTTGAAAACAGCCCTAATTTTTACATGACACGAATCTTTACATATTTTCAACTATTTAAACATTTAAAAAAAACATTCGTATTCTTAGCTCATGAGCCACAGAAAAACGGAATGCAGCCGGCTGACCCCTAGCATAGAGCAGTGCTGTGGGCTCCTAACCACACCTCTACCTCCTTCTTATTCTAATATTCCCCACCACAACAGCCAGAAAGTTCTTTTGAGAACATCTATCTGATCGTGACATTGTCTTACTTAAAATCTTCTAGTGACTACCATTACCCTTAGGGTAGTCCAGATTCCTTAATGTGGTTTACTGGACTCTCTCACTTCTAAGAAGTCTTAGAGTCTCTTTTGCATTCCCTGTCCAACCTTGCAGGTGCTCGTAACTACTGGCTGCAAGATACTGCAGGAGCAGAGGAGCAAGCAGCTGAATTCTATGGCAATAGAACTTGGTTAAAAGTGTTGCTTCCACTTATCAGATGACAAGGGAGATGGTGAAATACTACAAGGGCCCTACAGTATAGACACTTGCAACTCTCTAGCCAAGTAAACATGTTTCGGAGGACATTGTAGAGAAAGGACTGTCATCTAGTGGAGTCCTTTAGGCACTGTTTCCTTTGGAGTACCACATACGATTCTACATGAAACACTGCCCTTTCTCCTTCCTCTTTGCTGATTAATTCTTCATTCTCTAGGTCTTGGCTCAGATGCTACTAGGTTAAGAATCCTTCCCATCCTAACACACTGTATTGCTCTAATTAAATCTTTCCCACCAAACCGTGACTTCCTTGGGCATCTAACTTAGTACCTGACACATAATACCTTCAAACATTTGTTAAATGAGTGACATGGTTTAGAAAATGAATTGAAAAGGGTATTGGCAGCAGAAAGGTCATCTGGGCAGCTGTGCCAGTTATCCAGGTGAAAAAGGCTTTCAGCAGCAGCAATGTGTATGGAGAGTGGATGGATTCCACAGCTGCTATTCATGTATTCCAGCTCCAGATGACTTTGAATGTTAAAATCTTTCCTCAAAAGGCAGTTCTGCCAACACTGAGGCCATTTAAAAGCATGTCCTATAGGCTTGAAAGCTTTTCTCCAGTTACAAAGGCACTTAGTAAACATTGCAGCAGCACCCCTAAGAATAAGTGAGCAACCTCACTATGTAACTGCTTTGAAAGGATGGCTTCTCAAGCAAAAATACAAATTGTGTAACATCTGTCTTTTCTATGTTACTTTAAAAAGTATCATTACTTACTCATCCAATTACTTCATTCAGCTCTCTCTTCTTGCTCAGTGAGCTTGAGGATGAGCTGTTTAAGAAACTAGTTTGCAGCCAGGCACGGTGGCTCACGCCTCAGCACTTTGGGAGGCAGAGGCAGAGGCAGAGGCAGGCGGATCACTTGAGGGCAGGGGTTCAAAACCAGATCAGCCAACATGGCAAAACCCCATCTCTACTAAAAGTACAAAAATTAGCTGGATATAGTGGCATATGCCTGTAATCCCAGCTACTTGGGAGGCTGAGGCGGAAGAATCACTTGAACCTGGGAGGCAGAGGTTGCAGTGAGCTGAGATTTTGCCACTGCACTCCAGCCTGGGTGACACAGTGAAACTGTGTCTCAAAAAATAATAATAATTTTCTTGTAGCCACCTCTCTACAAGCCGTACCAACAGTTCATGACAAGTTTCATCCCCTGTTCCAAAGCGGGAGAGTGTCACTCTAGAGCTCTGACAGCCCCCCTGCCATCCTGGGAGCTCATACCACCCAGGTGTCCATGGTGGCTACCGTACAAATTCCAGTGCCTACCTTTAAGTGATGTGATGGGCAAGGGATTCATCTCAAGTATCTTCTCTGCAAAATAACTTTTACCTTGTCCGCCCATCTCTAACAGACTGTGGCCTAAGAACATAATTCCCTCTTCCTAGAAAGTCCTCACCACCATGTTGATCTGGCGAATTCCAGCCTGTCAATACTTACCTCAAGCATCACCTCTTCTGAGAAGCCTTTTTTTTCCCTCTTCCTCTCATACCACTATCATTCATGCAACAAATATTTATTCAGTGTCTATTATATACCAGAAGCTCACCTCTTCCAGGAGTTGGGGACAACAGCAGTTATATTAAATAACAAACAAACAAAACAGACCAAATGTAAGGGCTCACACTCTAATACCACCTTGCATTGAAACTGTCCTGTTGCCTCTCACAAGTATGGGCCACATCTTACTCAGCTCCAGGGCCTAAGGACAGAGACTGGCATAGAATGTAGGTGCCAGGTGTAAGGGAGTTCAGCTGAACAGCCCATCACAAGAATGTCAGCTCCAGATCACAGCTGTTCATCCTCCTTCCCATCTCTTTACAATCCCTAGATAGTTACTTAAAAATCTCTCCTCCACTAGATGACAGTACTTTCTCTACAATGTCCTCTGAAGTATGTTTACTTGGCTAGAGAGTTGGAAGTGTCTCTACTGTAGGGCCCTTATCAACATCTCCCTTGCCATCTGATACACTGAAACAACACTTTTAACCAAGTTCTATTGTCATAGAATTCAGCTGTTTGCTACCTTTGCTCCTGCAGTATCCTGCTGCTGGTAGTTATGAGGCATCCACATCCACAAGACAGGAGAAAGCAAATAAGAAAGGACACCCAGAAAGTGCCTCATGAAAGAAACATCAGGGAACTTTCTTCTTAGCCTCTTCAAAAAAGATGGGGTCTCACACTGTCACCCAGCTGGAGTGCAGTGGCACAATCTTAGCTCACTGCAACCTCCCCCCTCCAGGTTCAAGCGATTCTTGTGCCTCAAGCCACCAGAGTAGCTGGGATTACAGGCCCATGCCCCATGCCGAGCTAATTTTTGTATTTTTAGTAGAGATGGGATTTCACCATTTTGGCCAGGTGGGTCTTAAACTCCTAGCCTTAAGTGATCCGCCCATTTCAGTCTCCCAAAATGCTGGGATTACAGGTATGAACCACTGCACCCAGTCCCCAAACGAACATTTTCTAAGGCATGTTACTGTTTATTACAAATTGCCTTCATATCCACTCTCTTATTTGACTCTTTCAAGGATGTTCTGAGGTAGGTAGATAGGTCAAGTTAGTGACCCTTTCCCCGCGGGCTCCATCCAGAACTAACCAAATTGAACCTACTGGGAACATCCCTGGAACAAGTAGTACTGTAAAGTCCTGGGGCTTTGGCTTCTTTGCCCATCAGCTTTAATCCAAGAGAGTTAGGTTTACTACAACTGCTTGCAAGTCAGAGCCATCAACAATACACAACAAAAGGGCTCTGGTCCATGCTGGCCTCTGAGGAGCGCCAGTCCTCCTGGCTAAAGCTGAGGTGTGAGCAGGCAGGGCTATTACAACCATTTAAAAAGAACACACAAACAAAACCAGAAAAACCAAAAAACATACACATACAAAAAAACTTTATTTACAGATGAAAACTTAAAGACAATCTTGGATTCTGAATCTCTGATACTTCCAGGGTCTCTTGATCAAATGGGGCAGCAGCAGGCAGGGAAGCAAACACGAGAGCCAGTCCAGATTATCTTACTCAAGAACACCACCAAGAGGAAGGGAAGGCCTACAATGGCAGAGACAGGGAAGTCAGTGTGGGATGGGAAGGTAAGCACCTCAGAGGAACTGGAAGGGGACATCCCATAAGAGACAATGCTCCTAGCTATTCTTTTTTTTTTTTTTTTGAGATGGAGTCCGGCTCTGTCGCCCAGGCTGGAGTGCAGCAGTGTGATCTTGGCTCACTGCAACCTCCAACTCCCGGGTTCAAGCGATTTTCCTGCCTCAGCCTTCTGAGTAGCTGGGACTACCAGTGCCCACCACCACCCCCAGCCAATTTTTGTGTTTTTAGTAGAGATGGAGTTTCACCATATTGGCGAAGCTGGTCTCAAACTCCTGACCTTGTGATCCACTCGCCTCAGCTTCCCAAAGTGCTGGGATTACAGGGATGAGCCACCACACCTGGCCACTCCCAGCTATTCTCTACACTCTTAATCCTCTTTTCCCAAAAGGGTAGAACAGGTCTGATTTTCACCATAGGTCAGACCTTTGGCTCCCCAGAGCAAAGTTGAGCAGTATATTACAAAAGAACCAAAAAGAAATAAAGTAACATTTATGGTCAAGCATACTGTCTAATTTATTTGCCCTTCACAACTCTGTGCATAATATATTATCTAATTATGCAAAGGAGTGAAGTAGGGTGCCAAGGGGTTTAATGGCTTGACTAAAGTCACAGAATTAGACAGTGGTGGGGCTTCCTGGTCTACTTGGCTCCAAAGCCTTTGTCCTTTCTGTCAGACTCTGATGGCTCTCTGTGGATGTCCAGAACAAAGAGCAATCCTTCTTCCTGGCAGGTTTTGGTCCCAGGATAGAGAGGAAGGGCAGTCCACACTCTTGGTTTATGGCCTTGAAGTCGAGCAAGCTATACTCAGAGAACAGGGTGAGTACACTCAGATACTATTGTCCCCCTCCTCCTGCCATTCCTCAAACACAGCCACCCCTTCCTTCAGTGAACAATGAGTACTGGCATTGTACTGCAGGCACAGACTGAAGTTTAACCGTGGGCCCCCAAGAAATGTATGAAAATATATAAATGTACTTTGTAAGTTGCATGGTGTGCCAGGACCTAAGCTCTGTCAGGCCAGGCACTACGTTAGTCAGCGTGGTCCTTGCTTCAAGAAGTTCTCAGTCCAGGGAAAAACAGACCAACACATTTGTGATACAGCGTGTTCAATGCCCCAATGGAGAGATGAACCAAGGGAGCACCCAGGTGGGAGCCACTGACTAGGTTAGACCTGGAAGAGGAGATGGAGGGATCAGGGATGGATTCATAACTGATGTTAGCCACAGCTGTGGGCAGGCTCCTGGGAGGTGCTGGGAGGATTTAGGATTAGTTAAAACTACATATAAACAGGATGTATTTCTGTTCTAAGACACATGTTCAATGTAGAAAATTCAAGCATAAATAAGGCAACTGAAAAGTCTCTCTGCTATCTCTGCTCGGCAGAAGTATTATCAACAGTCTGCTATATATCACTGCAGAGATTCCTGAAAGTTATTCAAAATAAACAGTACCATGCTTGCATAAATTACTACATCTTGATTGTCACTTAATTTACCTTAGAAATCTTGCTAACACATCCAGATCTATCTCTTTCTTTTTGTTAAGGCTGTATAGTATTCCATTGAAGAGGATGGAACCTCTATGTGTGTAAGACCTGGCTGCAAGGCAAGCAACTCTGCCTTTGGACTGTTCTGGACTGGACTGGAGCCAAACATTCTCTCCTCCCTGGGCTTTTCAGCTGGCAGAGCTTCTGAGTTTCAGGACAGGGAACAAACAGTGTCACATGCCCAGCAGGCATGTAAATATTTGCTGTCAAATCTCCAGTGCTCCCCAGACACATATTTTCATGTAAAACCTCTTTCCTCTTGCCTGGACTACTACTGCAGTGGACTCCTCCCCGGCCTCCAGCCCATCCTCCACAATGCTGCCAGAGTCATCTTCTGAACATGAAAATTCAACTACAATATTCTGCTGAAAATCCTTCAGTGGCTCCTACTGGCCTGATTCTTTTCTGGAGGGTCAGTGCCCCTTTTGAGAATCTCAGGAGCATAATGGACTCCTTCCCCAGAAGGGAAAAAATACTGCATGTCTGAAAGTCAGCCCCTGGCCTCAGGATAACATATGAACTGTTAAGCTTAGTACTGGCCCTGGCCTCTCTCCAACATTCTTACCATTTGCTTGTCATATCTTCCTGCTTCAGTCAAATTGAATTATTTGCAGCTTCCTCTATACTTCCTACTGTTTCCTGCCTTTGTGACTTTGCAGAGGCTGTTCCCTCTGCCTGGAATGCCCTCCTCAGTTTTAGCCACTGACAAGTTATATTCTTTCTTGTACTAAACTGAAACATCATCTCTTCTGTAGTCTTCCCAACCACTCCGGGAAGATCAGGGCATTTCTGCTTTCCTTACCTTGTTCTAAAACCTCCAATACAGTGCCTTATTGTAATGTAATTGTCAGTTCCCCCAAAAGACTGAGTTCCTTGAAGGAAGGAACTGGGTTTTTCAAATCTGTAGCCTCATATGCAGCGTGGGATCTATCTTAATTCATCTGGGCTTGGTGGTGGAATGAATAGAGGACCAGCCCAACTGCCACCAACACATCCTTCCTAATCTTCCCCTATGGGAATGTCTCATATCTACAGGTAATTCCAGAATGAAAGACAGTGTTTCCTAAACCTCAGTCATTCGAATAGCACTTTCACAACTGTTACGATATCTATCATCCACAGGTACAATTTCTTTTTTAAGCTAATCACTATTTGAACTTCAATATTGCCTCACTGTAAGCTGTGATAACTAAAATTATGTATTGTTCTAATTATATATTTTTTTCTAAGATTCAAATATTAAAGTAAAAGTCATCCCGGCACTAACGAAAGTAGTGTTTCCCACACTTCTCTATTAAAGAAGTACCTGAGATACTTGTTACAAACATAACAACCTGGGTCTCACCTCAAAGCCACTCCATCAAACACTCCAGGGAAGGGATCTGGGAATTCGAAGCTTTAACTAGTGCCCCCAAATGAATATTATCTGTTGGAGAATTTAGGCAACAGTGAATTAAGGAAAGTTCTCTACCACTTGATATTGGTACCAGATTTGGGGATCACAGGGAGGAGGGCAGCATATCAGACCAGCAGAGTTGCCAGAACTCAGAGGTGCCACCCTCTCCCACGTATACGTAAGTAGCAAAGAACCCATTCAGTCTACAGCAGGAGAATCCTGACAGTAAAGGTTCTTTATGCTATACATAACCAAATTTATCATAAAAAGTTTTCACAGAGCTGGGCACAATGGTTCATGCCTGTAATTCCAACACTTTGGGAGGCTGAGGTAGGAAGATGGCTTGAGTTCAGGAGTTTGAGACCAGTCTGGACAACATGGCAAGGCCCCACCTTTTTTCTTTAATTTTTAAATTTTTTATTATTATGATTTTTTGAGATGGAGTCTCGTTCTGTTGCCAGGCTGGAGTGCAGTGGCATGATCTCAGCTCACTGCAACCTCTGCCTCCCAGGTTCAAGCAATTCTCTTGCCTCAGCCTCCCAAGTCGCTGGGACTACAGAAGCGTGCCACCATGCCCAGCTAATTTTTTAATTTTTTTAGTAGAGACGTGGTTTCACCACGTTGGCCAGGCTGGTCTTGATCTCCTGACCTTGTGATCCGCCCGCCTCAGCCTCCCAAGGTGCTGGGATTACAGGTGTGAGCCACCTCGCCCAGCAGAGAGCCCACCTTTAAAATGTTAGGTGGGTGTGGTGGGGCACACCTATAATCCCAGCTACTAAGGAGGCTGAGGTGGGAGGATTCACTGAGGAAGCTGTGACTGCGCCACTGCAATCCAGTGTTGGTGATAGAGTAAGACCCTGTTTAAAAAACAAAAACACAAAAACAAAACCAAAAAACTCCCAGAATCCACTGAGATAAAACCAAGGTTTCTGTATCTAAAATTGTACAGACCAAGCACGGTGGCTCACGCTTGTAACCCCAGTATTTTGGGAGGTCAAGGCAGGCAGAACACTTGAGGTCAGGACTTTGAGATCAGCCTGGTCAACATAGTGAAACCCTTGTCTCTACTAAAAATACAAAAAATTAGCCAGGCATGGTGGTGCACGCCTCTGATCCCAGCTATTCAGGAGGCTGAGGCATGAGAATCGCTTGAACCAGGGAGGTGGAGGTTGCAGTGAGCTGAGACTGTGCCACTGCACTCCAGCCTGGATGACAGAGTGAGACTTTGGTTTAAAAAAAAAAAAAGTTGTGCCGGGCGCGGTGGCTCAAGCCTGTAATCCCAGCACTTTGGGAGGCCGAGGCGGGTGGATCACGAGGTCAAGAGATCGAGACCATCCTGGTCAACATGGTGAAACCCCGTCTCTACTAAAAATACAAAAAATTAGCTGGGCATGGTGGCGTGTGCCTGTAATCCCAGCTACTCAGGAGGCTGAGGCAGGAGAATTGCCTGAACCCAGGAGGTGGAGGTTGCGGTGAGCCGAGATCGCGCCATTGCACTCCAGCCTGGGTAACAAGAGCGAAACTCCGTCTCCAAAAAAAAAAAAAAAAAGTTGTACAGAAAACGTCATTTTCACTAAAACCAAAGTCAGAACCTAGGAAGGCAAAACACAAAGGTTCTGGAAAGAAGTGCTCCATAGGGAGGCAGAACTGATCAAGTGACATCTATCGCCTTCCTCGCTGTTTCACCACATATGCCCAGTGTCTCGGCACAAGGCCTCAAATGCAGGATTAGGTGATACTTGATATGAATGCAATGGATTCCTGCTGGACTAGTGCCACCAAGAGATTATTTCCTCTTGGTCTTTTTTTTTGGGATATGGCAAGTTCTCAATGAAAAGATAGACTCTTACTCCCCATCGCCTTGCCTCTCAAAGTCTGCATCAGCGTCACCTGAGAGCTGATTAGAAATGCAGAATCTTACCCCCCACCCAAACCCACCAAATCAGAACCACCATTTTATAACAAATTTCCTGGAGATCCATATGCACATTAAAATATAAGAAATACTACCCAATAGGGCTTAAAAATACCACCTTCCTTCCCTCCAGACCCCTGTTCCCCGGGAAATTAATCTCCTCTTTTCATTAATGTTTCCCAAATCACATTATTCAGAAACGCAAAACAGGGCACCCATCTGTGGAACCAACCACTTTGCATTAGACTGCCACCCAGATTCCCTAACACTTTAAAACCTGTGATAGGGATTTTTGGTAAAGTGAAACGTGATAATTCAAGTAAAGTTCTTAGGTCATTATGTGGGCATAGGAAGAATTCAATGTAAGTTAACTGCTTTAATTATAGTGTCCCTAGTATTAACGACGAGATTCAGTTCTGAGCAAGCCAGGGCAAGTAGACTGAGTTGCTAGGTTTAGAGCTTGCTGTCCAGTACAGTAGCACTAGCCACAACTGGCTCTTTATGTTTATTATTTTTTAAATTTACTTATTTATTTTTGAGACAAGGTCTCACTCTGTTGCCCAGGCTAGAGTGCAGTGGCATGATCTCGGCTCATGATCTCGGCAGAGGTTTCTGCCTCCTGGGTTCAAGAGATTCTTGTGCCTTAGCCTCCAGAGTAGCTGGGACTACAGGCATGTGCCACCACGCCTAGCTTATTTTTGTATTTTTAGTAGAGAAGGGGTTTTACCATGTTGGCAAGGCTGGTCTCAAACTCCTGACCTAAAGAGATCCACCCGCCTCGGCCTCCCAAACTGCTGGGATTACAGGTGTGAGCCACCATATCTGGCCTAATTTAAATGTAATAAACTACAGCATAGTTCTATCAATAAAAAAATAAAAATAAATAATAAATAATAAATAAAAATTTAACAGTTTAGTCCCTCAGATGAACCAGCCACATTTCAAGTGTTTCGTTGTCACATGGCACTGGTAACTACCATACTGGACCTCCCAGATCTGGAACCTTTCCATCATCACAGACCATGGGCAGTCCTGGTCTAGAGGGCCTCTGGAATGTACAATGGCCACCTGAGGAATGTGTTCTGCTTGGGTTGCAGGCTG